TGTACTAACGATGAAGGCGTGCGTCCCGAAGGGCTTTGCACTCACCCTCCACCACAGGACGCGAGCTCCGCCCAAGCAGCGCAGCTCCTTACAAGCAAGAAAGCAACGGATCTCTTGCTTTTCTCAAGTGTCGCATTAACGATTACCGAGGCCTGGGCCGGGGTTGCTTGGTCGGGAAACCTGCAACATTGTTCAGCAGCCTCAACGTTTGATGCGTGTGGCTCCATCATGTGCAGGTTGGGGTGTCATTCCATTGGCGTCTCTTGCTGTAATACTTTTCAGCATATTCTAGACGGTTCTACGACGACGCAGAGTTTGGGTAGGAGATCCAGGTGAAGCTATGAAGCTATGAAGCTATGAAGCTATGAAGCTACATGGTAGATTTGGCGGGGCAGTACAAAAGAGTGCTGTTGTTCTCTCACGTAAGAGTCGGATTGCAGATTTGATAGTCTCTCGATCAAAAATCTGCCCTCCCGATAAAAAGGCACATAATGTGCATGCCATGGGAGGTACTGCCTCGACTCGGAGCTAGGCCGGGGCCAGAAAAAGTCGATCACAGTACGTGCATGGCCGGAAGAAGAGGCCCGGCCGCAGGGTGAATAAGTGTAAGGAAATTTAGATGCTACTCGGCTCTTCAACCTGTATAATGACCCAGACGTTTTGTATTCGTAATAAGTTGGCTCTAATTAACGGCGCCATGATTGGGAATTGGCTTTTTCGAAACGCGTAATCATACAAGCTTGAACACGATCGGCATGTGGCATCCAGGCTCGATACCGTGATCGGACCAACACGCCATATTCAACGTGCTTTGAGGCCGGCATCATGCATACGTGCTCATGTCCGTATACGTCGATCAATAATTACGCATCTTAAGCTACAAATGAGAACGTGCGAGAAGCACAATGTGAACAGGCACGCGAGCCTGAGTGGCATTCAGATTATAGAGCGTCTCAACAGGTGTGCCAGAAAGGCGTCTAGTATGCAGGACCAGGACGCCTCGCCAACAGCCACGGGTGAACACATGATCATCCGCAGAACAGATCGTTTGCCTACTTGGGCCGGACCGTCAAAGAGGGAGAGCAGGACGCCAAATTAGACGGCACTGCTGCAGAGCTATCAGGCAGCTCTTGCGAAATGTCGAAAAGATCACTAACGCGACAATATCAAAGCAAACAAATGTGGGAGAAGTACACGATCTAGATACTACTACAGGCCCAGTATGTTGAATCTTTAAAGGGAGTAGTACGTTGATGCCCAAACACCAACACGGACTGATGGGCGACGACAGTGGCATGCTAGGAAAGCTTGAGAGGGCGCCTCCAGCATATGAGACTTGGGCAAAGCCCGTTCAAGCGCCGCTCATCATCGCCGCAATGTGATCGTTGTTCCCGGCAAGTGCGACGATCCAAAAAGTTCCAGAAACGAGTAAGGTCCTCTCAGCTACTGCAAAGAGGGTTTTCGCTTGGACGATTTGAGGAGACGAGGAAGTCCCGGCCTATAGCATGCTCAGAGCATCAGTGCAAGCATCCTCCAACTTTGGAATCGGGAAACAAATGCAGAGACCCCGATTTTGAACTTCTCGTCGCCAAGCGCGCGAGAGCTGGTGCTCAGTTTCGAAGTCACGTAGAGGCTCTGAGGCTTATTTGACAGCCTTCAAAAGGCCATGGGCCGCAACGTGACTCGCCTGCCAGACTCGTCCTTTCGAGGAAAAGGCAGAAAACCTCCGGACAATAAAAAGGCAGCGACTGTTGCTCGAGAAGGTGACATAAGGTGGCGCATATCAAGAAGTCCTGATCGTTTGCACAAGGCGCCTCCCGAATGCGGGGGCGTCCGCGTCATTGTCTGTTGGGATGTTCTTTTGAAAGGATGTTGCGGCGGTTCCAAGGCTGCCTCGAGACTGCTCGGATGTCGCCGCAAATAAGTCCTACCGAGCTGTAAGAGCGTCGCAACGGCAAAGCACTGAGGCCGGCTGACGGCCGAGTTCCAACGGCGGCGATTTGCAGCTTGCCTCGACTCTCCATTTTTTCTCTAGGCGCGTGCAGAAGAAACGTACGGAATCAGCTCTTGCGCTGGCCACAGAAGTGAAGGAAGGTACCTTCGATAGGCAATTTTGCAAAACGCGAAGTTGCTATCAGTCGACAAATGAGGAACAAGTACTACAACAAGGGTCTGAGCAAAGACTGGAATCTACTGAAGCGGGAGGCAACTGGGAAAGAAGTTCCAATCAACTGAGGGGGCGCAAGTATTGCAACTGAACCCTTTCAAGCATAGTCTGACAGTGAAAACCCATTTGATTAAGCTGTAGGTGGCTGACTTTAACGGTCTCAAGCAGCCAGAGGCTAAAAGAGGGAAGACTGTGCTCATCGATGCACAGACCCTCTCGAGACAAGAAAAGTCGAAAGCATTATGCAGACTTACTGTGTATATCAAAAAGAACGGCTCCAGGACGTTCCTTTACAGTAAGTCTGACATCAACGCAGACAGGATCAAAGAACAAGCCTCCTTGCAAGAATCTGGCAGTTGAATTGGCACTAGTGAAGAGACGTGTACGAATCGCAGGCCCATATCCAGTTTCATCCATCCAGAATCTCGAACGGCACGTCAGGACCGATTTAAGTATGACCCGACTTTCACCACTTGGAGAAACGCACCTTTTACTCAATCTTGAGGAAACGCCTGAGGTACTCTGCTTGGCGTCAGGTTAAACTCGAAGACCTGTGTGTGGCATTAGGCTACACAAGGGTCGCGCACTCAGCATTGCCCACAGAAACAGGCGAGACTCTTCGGTCACGAATTTTGGTGGTTTTCGCCTGCTTGTTCCTATTGTGCTCGATAGAGACCGTTGCAAAGCTGCATCCAAAGCAACCGTTGCACTGGAAGCGGTCGGAAATCGATACAACCCAAAAGCGAGAACCTCAATGCCTTTTGAGTGTGCAAAGGCTCATGTAACCAAAGTCCAGTGTGGAGTTCCACGTTAGATGGGCCTGAAAGCCAGTCGACCGTCATTTCAAGAAAGTTGCGCACGGGACACTGTTGGACCTAACCTGCGTGCCCTTACGCAGAAAACGGATCTGTACCCATGCGCACGCTTTTGCAGAAGATACAATCGAACTCAGTGTCGAATAATTTCCTGAAAAGTCTGTTATTACAGACCTGCCTCGGGTTGTCGGCCCGGCCACTAAGAAGGAAGGTTACGTGCTAAAAAGTGGAGCGATAAAAGAGCCGGCGGTTCCTCGGTCCTCCATGCATCGCTGAGCTGCTTTACAGCTCATAATCGAGTTTAGGCCCATCATGACCGCGTGCAATGTCCGAAAGCACCCTTCTTGCAGAACGGCACTGAAGCTTGCCGTGGACATTCTTCTTTTAGAAGAGAAGCAATGCTGGCTCGGACGACTCCCAAGAGATATGCGCAAGCCGCTTTGCCCAGGGTTTATCGACTCATAGCCTGGGTCCCTTGAAAAACACGCCGATTATAACTGAGGCACTCAACATCGCATATGCGGAAGTGTCACTCGCTCTAAAGAAGAGAGCCGCTGACTGTCTGCAAAGACCGCTCGCGTCTGGAATGTAATACGCCCGTCTGGTTACTAACCAGTTTACGTGAAGCAAGCAAGGACGCGACCGCCAGAAAATGGGCGTACATCACGAATGCGTACAAGTTGATCAAAGCTGTAAACGATTCTCACACGCCATGGCAGCTTCTGATACCGTGTTTTGAGCCGAGCAATTAAACACTAACAAAAGAGATGCAAAGCGAAGACCTACAGAAAGGACAAACTGAAGCGCCTCGAAATCGAGGGACTCGATTGACGCGGCACTTCTCAACCTTCAGCGAGCACTGTTACCTGCCAGCCAATAGTCGGCCAGATAAAAGAAGCCCGTCATTGAGATCAATTTCTGGCTCCTCGTGACGATGCCGCGCTGGAGGCGCTCCGTCCAACGGCAGTAAAGCATATCCAAGGAACAAATGACAAGACGGCTTACGTGGTATGACCTACTTCAGAACTATACAGCAAGATGCAACAAGAGGCACTCAACTGAGATGCGCTTTTGAGGAAGTGATCGAAGCTTGGACGTGACCAGTCTGTGACCAGCAAAAATGCGCGAGTTGCTACTGGCCATATTCTCGTAAATACAAAGTCGACCAAGGAGAACAGATGATCAATCGCGTTGGCCAACAAACAATGAAGTGCTAGGTTTCCGCTGCTCACGAAACAATGAGCATCACGGAATCACCGGATAACAATTGACTTCCGGAAAGCATCGCAAGATCCAGTTGCCTTTGTTTGACATCCCGAAACGTTGGCATATTCTTCAAGTTCCAGTCTGGGCAGCGTGTTGCTGCTCATCAGGCCGTAGATAATCATGGCCGAACAAAAGGTGCACACGCCATTGTTAGATCAGCATTTGGGCACTCGAGTGAGTCAGTTGCCGTTCAACGAAGCCATGACTTCCAGCTTGACTGCTCAAAGGCTGTGCGTGTTCTCAAAAGAACGGGGGGGGCAGATCCGGTGCAGCAGTTGCAACTCAATCTAACAACGGCAATCAAAGCTGTGCCAGGACAAAAGCCCCGATTCAAGTAAGCCTTGCCCGAAAGCTCTTTCTGGAAAAGCACAGCCAAGCGAGCAGATCAGAAACAAGACCGTAGCTGCCTATCATCGTCAGAGAATTGTAAGAAATACTGGATTGAATTACTTGATCTGTTTCCAATCAAGGTGCGATCAAGGTGGAACACAGCCAGACTGCAGAGAATTACGAAGAGGGCGTAGAAACAATTTGAGCCGACATTACGAGTGTTGAGCCTCGGCTGCTCGTGGCCCGGCACCATATTGGGAGGGAACGTGAAAGCTGACAATAAGATGGCACACTCTGATAGTGGGTGTCTCGAGAAAGATTGAGCGGCAGAGAAAACCTCATGCAAGGGTTTGCACCGACGTGACATAGAGAGTGTCTTGTCATCCTCGAACAAATAAAAAAACTTAACGAAAAAATACAGTGCAGCAGTCAGATTCCCATTTTATCAAGGCGTTTCCGGAGTGGGCAAGTCACCCTTGCCATGTGGGCGTATGCAAAGGCATGAATCTACACGAGATATTGCGGAACGTGGAAGCCGTTTTCCAAAGAACCCGACTTCACGCAGAGCTGTGAAGAGTCTCCTAGTGGCTACTCCGTACCTCTACTGCTTCTTCGAAGTCCGGCAATGAGGCGGGTTCCGGAGGTCGAGTCCACCTCAATCTGACTGCAGGGTCAAACGGACAGGTATATGAGACGTTGCTGGCCCCGTTACCACAGCCGACACTCAGACATACTGTCAATCATTACTGACGGATTGACAAAGTCAATTCTGGTGTCAAGAAGTGCGATACGGATGGTCACGAAGATTCAGCCCGCCGACGGATTCCCTAAAAATGGAGTCCTATAACACCATAACCGAACACGGGTCGAATCACATCCTCAGAAGTGTTCCCTAGTGTCGGCCTATGTACAACTTATGACGCAACAAGATTCTGTGGAGGATTGATTCAGCGGGCATCCGGAAAGATGCCTTGAGAATCGAGCAAAGTGGTCAAGGACATCGTCAGAGTCTCAAGTCGGCAGGAGACAAGAGGTCTCAGGGAGTCGGAAAGGTACCCGTGCGCCTTTCAAGACATGCCAAGGAATCGGGGAAGAACTCCTACTTTCGATCGTTAATAAGGTTCATGCTTTGCTCACCATCAACAAATGCCCCAGCTTGTAGAGCCCACGTCATCACAGTTCTCCACTTCAGCCCCCGGTCCGTATCCAGTCAACAAGCATGCCTGGGGGCGGTCGCTTCTCGCGTGCAGCCTGCACGAGAAACGGCAGCAGAGACGTGCGTCAGATTCAAAGAGAGAAGACTTGCGGACTTCAAGCAATTGCAGTGTGCAAAAGTAGTCACTGGACACAATGACATCTTTTGTTGATGATAAAGTTGTGTTGATAATCGTGGAACGCGTTCCAGCCGGCAAGCATTCTCGCCTCGCGAATGCCGAAAAGCAGCCTGCCGCCGCTGGCTTCAGTGACTTGCGGTCAACAATGGTGCATCTATATGTCGCCGTAAGCCACGTGAGCAGACAACACCTTAATTTGAACGGGGTTGCGGAGCAGGAAGAACGTTCACGGCTAAGACATCTTGACGGCGTCCTGTGGTTTTCTTTGGACGCTCAAAGAGCGAAAGCGTAAACGGGACGACTTGGACGCTTCTTTTCTGATTCCACTCTGTGCCTTTAACCCGTTTGACCTCGCAGAGCTTTTCTGTAGGTAAACATGACGGGTTTCGACACGACGAGCCCTGGAACAGAAGGCATCCTTGAAAACGGATCTGGGAGCGCTTTGGACACGGAAGCTTAAGTATCTGTTAAGTGCTCCACTGAGGCGCCCAAATTACATCAACGGACCCAGAAACGATATAGAATCAATGCTGGATTATGCACTCTCCAGCATTAGCCGAACCGGGCTCAGTAATAAGAGGGTATAAACTTCGGGCGGGCCGTACTTGCCTGAGCACCTGCAAAGCTGCCACGTGGCGAGCATCTAACGGTGTGGCGACAGCTTTCGGCCCACGCTCAAAACTCCATAGCATCGAGAGTGAGCACCGGGTCCACCCTGCATTAGAAAAGAAACGGTTCACAAAGCCGACATTCGATGGGTGAGAGGTGATGATCAGCTCGAAACCGAGTCGCTTTTCCTGTGCAGCCGTGTAAAGTCTGCATGAGTCGAACAGCCCGTTGACCACCCTCTCTTTTCTCGTCAAGATTTATATAAAGTTTCAACCAACAACTCGGTCAACCGAAAGCTGTGAATTTGACGCTGCTAATCCGGATCGAACTCTGCGCACGCGTAATCGGAATGTTTACTCAAGACCGCTAGCCAACTAACTCTTCACCTCTGGAACTGAGAATGTTTCCGGTCAGCATCCCAGCCAGTCGGGCCAAGCGCTCGAAAATGAGCTTCTTTCACGAGGAGGAAATACACCGAGAAAATGCGAGTCTTTTTGAAAAGACACCCCCAAGCGAATGGTACACCAATAGAATCGAGAAGCAAGGCGAACCAGAATCAAAAACCTTAAATGGACGTTGCTGCATGCTTCAACGTGAAGCCAACAGGTTCGCTTGCCCTCGCAATCCTTTGTTTGCTCGATCCAACCGTTCCACTCTCATATTGTCTTACCCACACAAAAGATTGGTCACCGCAATACAAACAAACATCACTGCCAGCTTTGATCAACAAAGGCACTCAACGCTGATTGACATGTGACGTAGCTTACCAGTTCCCCACGCAAAGCGCCACAACGACCCCCGCGGCTCCCATGAGGCTGAAGGGGCTGGTCACGTGCCTCAGGAAAGGCCGAAGCACGTCCGCTGAGACAAGACAACGGGTTCCAGTCAGATCAATCTATACAGACTGCTCCCGGACCACTCGACGGCCCAATGTTGAGCGTCTCCTTCTATACACACACTTCGATAAACATTAGGGAGGCTTCTTCACTTCGTGGGTCTTCGAATCCGGAGGCGCACCGATGGGTCTGCTTCAAACAAGAGCTGCACTGTAAGATTGACTCGGAGAGCAACTTTCGCCGGGGAAGCACGTCGAGCCTTTTCAACTGACAAGCGTCACTTTCACAGATGATTGACCTCGTCTGGCCGCTTCCCTTCTTCGTCCTTCTCTTAACGCTGAGTCGGAGTACTCGGGGAAGAGCTGCACTTGACTCCAAGAAACTTTCACGAGTTTCGTCATACCTGCGTCCGCTGTAACTAGCTCCAACCGCAGGTGCCGCGCCGCTAGTTCCTCCCCCGATGGCACTCCAGCCAGCTTCGCCTCCGCCTGCTGCCCTACGAAACCCAGAGAACACGCGCTATCTTCGCCGTCCAGCTTCTCGCCACGTTTCTCGTCACTTTTCGTCCCCTTAACACCGTCCTCCACTTTCCGATCCCTCCATTCTTCGCCGCTCGCGTTTCGTTCTCGCGCTCTTGGCCGTGTGCCCATCACTCCGCTTTTCCGTGTGCCTACTACACTTCCTTCCTCGGCAGTCACTTCGTTCTGACCACGTGGAAACATGTCGTCGCCAGTCTCGGTCCTGGTCCCCGTGTTCCGACTCGCTGACGTCACTCTCAGGCTCTCAACGCTTGCCCCCATGCTGGTTACCATCTCCTTTCCCCACCTCGAGACTCTTCCGGGACCGTTGATGACTTTACCGCTGGCCAACATGGTTTCGTCCACCACCTTCTGCCCCGCTGACGTCACCTGAAAGCTGACGTCACTCGGACACGCCCCCGGCACCGCCGCCCACACCGCCAACCGGTAGAGCGGAAACGATCGGATCACCGCGCTGCCGATCTGCAGCGCCGCGCGGGCTGCCGCAATCCCGCCGTACGTCATCGCAAACAGCGAGTAGTACGCCCAAGTCGTGGGCAGCAGTAAGAGCAGCGGTGTGAATAGGAGCGACCCCACGACAATCTGCTCCACGTGGCGTTCGAAGGAGTCGACACGGTGGCGCAGCGGGTTCCGCTTCCGGCCCCGGAAGAGGCGCCAGAGCGCGGCCAGGGCGCGAAGCTGGGCGGAGTAGATGAGGGCGGAGAGCCAGTAGAGGAGTGACACGTGGCAGGTGGCGAGGGCTAGCACGTCGGAGGCGAGTGCGAGAAGTGTGGAGAGGCCCAGTGGGGAGGAAATGACGAGGGACCAGAGAGCGCTGCTGAGGAGGAGAGCTTGGTGCTGGCCCCCGAAGTCTGAGAAGATCTGCAGAGAGGAAGAGCTCGTTTCAGAAAGGATATTTGCATGAAGCTGTCCCAAAATTACAAAAGGGTTCCCTTCCTTTGCTCCACCAGCGTATATTCGTAAGCACCCGCTGAATCTTCCGCGACAAAGGAAACGCAGGCTCGACAATGAGGTAAGAGCGAGTCGAGAACCAGTGCGCAACAAAGTGATATGCTTCTTTATTTAGGTAAAAGATGCATAATGAACAGAGAATGTTAACGGAGGGAGAAAGTGTGTGACCACCGCTGGCTGACGAGGGAGGGCCGATAGCACATATTTCGCATTAACAAACTGTTGGTATCGCTGGACTTCCCTGAGTACTGACCCTCATACAAAGGCAACGAATGAGCGGCACCAGTTGCTGAAGGTCTTCGCTTGAGTAGATTGACAGGCAGATCACTCGAGGAAAGGATGATCATCGCCGCTTCTAGAGACGCCTTTAAACGAAGGTGAGAGCTCTCAGCGCTGACACGCGTCTCACTTTGGTGCTCGAAAATAAAGAACAGGAACAGCTGATGAGGAAAGAGATATCGAGACGCCGCTCGTTGACGAGGGACGACCGATAGCAAGCATCCTTGGTGAACAGCGGACTGATGGATTCGGCTCCATTGCTGACCCTCAAGGAAGCGCAACAACTGAGCGGTATAAGCTCAGATTCTATCATTGAGCAGATTGCTAGGCGAACTGCTCAGGGGTGAACACCATTATTGCCGCTTCTAAAGGACCGTTGCCGAAAGGTGAGAGCCCAATCTCTGATACACGTGTCAACTCTAGTGTCTTCGGGAACGAGTAGAGTTGATAAGAAGGGACGAGGAATCTAACGCCGCTGCTTGATGTGGCGCTTCCGACAGCACGCAGTTTTCATGAACCACACACCGTTGGAAATGGCTGAACTTTTTTGAGTACTGACCCTCAAGGAAGGGCAACGAATGAGCGGCATCAGACGCTGAGATTCTTCGTTGAGCAAATTGACAGGCGGACCGCTCAAGGGTAAAAAATCATCATCGCCGCTTCCGAAGACGAAATGCTCAAAGGTGAGAGCCCTTCTTACAGATACGCGTTTCGACTCTAGTGTCTTGAGGTTTGAGCGCAGGGACAGTTGATGAGGGAAAAAGAACCTGAATGCCGTGCTTAGCGTGGCGCGCGATAGCGCGCAAATTACCAAGAACCACGCACCGTTGGTTTTGAGCTCATTTGTCTTGATTAGTGCCCCTCAAGGAAGCGCAATAAAGGAGCGGCATCTGTGCACAATTCTTCCAGTGAGCATATTGCTCAAGGGTAAAGACTGTCATCGCCGCTTCTAAAGACGCTTACTCAACGGTGAGAACCTTCATTACGATAGCGTCTCTCTCTTGATATCTAAGGATGAAGAAGAGGGGCAACTGATGAAGGAGGAGGTATCTGAACGCCGCTAGTTGATGCGGGACATCCGACAGCAAGCAGTCCTCCATGAATATTGGCCTCTGAGTACCGCTCAAGTAACTATCCTTCAAAGAAGCGTGAATGAGCGGCATCTGGTTGAACTACTACAATTGAGCAGACTGACGGAGCAGATTGCTCAAGAACGAAGACCTTCATCGCCGCATCCCACGACGCATTGGTCGAAGGTGGGAGCCTTCAACATACGCGTCTCACTCTCTGATCCCAGGATTGATAACAGGAACAACTGATGAGGGAAGAGGTATTTGAACGCCGCTGGTGATGTGGGACTGCCGATATCAATCATTCGTCATGCACATAGCACCGCTAGGTAGTGCTAGACTCTCACAAACGCCGTCCCTTAAGGAAGCACAGCAATTGAGCGGCATCCGTGGAACTTCGGTGATTCAATGAGCAGGCTGACGGAGCAGACCGCTCAAGGGTGGAGACCATCATCGCCGCAATTTAAAACTCACTAAAAAGAAGTGCAACCATCGGTTGCCGCTTGCGGAAGTTTTGAGCTCGTCAACAATCGTTTTCATTCCCATGCTCGACCCCAATACGCTGTACGAGAAGGGGTCCGCGTACTGCGAAGCGACAGCAATGCACTTCCGAACATACGAGGGGCGTCCAGAAATTTTGCATTCGGAAGTCAGTCAAAACCTTCGAAGTATTCAAGTCCTGCCAGAAAGTCTGCTCCAATTGCTACCGCAGGTCGTACGTTGCGTTTCGACGCAGCAGTCAGATCTGATGATATCGCTGAACTAGGAACCGGAGACGCTCAGAACCTACTACTTGTGTGACGACTGCAGGGACCGGACAGATGTTTTTCTAAACAGACGCCACGCAATCTCAACAACATGCAGGCTGGGGGCCTGTGCTCGTGTTCTTTTAGCCACTGCACAAACTACTCCCACCCAGACGAGTGGAAGTATAAGCCGCTGCAACAGCGAAATAAGAGAGAAGACTAGCTACAACGTTGGCCGCCTCGGGTCACAAGCGCATCGAGTTGCCAACGACCACTTCGGATCGCTGCAAAAGGCCAGCCTCGTCCTTCGAAAGCATTCCGCTTGCTGTTGAAGCGCCGCTCGGAGAGGTTGGTAGCGAGATATCTGTTGCGGCCATGGAGATCGGAACACAGGACTTCAAAAAGAAGTTAGTAAACGCAGCATCTGAAAACTTGCAGACAGAACTCTGGACACCAACGGGTTGCCCAGGTCCGGAGTCATCCTTGCCACGTGGAAGAACAAGCGAGTCAACGGCTTACTGAACACCGAAATCGTACGACAGAGATCCGTTCAGCATGCTTCAGGAAGGGCTACACACTTCCGGCGTGTCGACAATGATTCTTGCGCCTCAATATTGACAGACGTCCCCTGTTTCTTCCGTACTTATCAGCGCTTAAGATGTATTTTAAGATTGAGAGGGGTCGATAACAGATCCATTTGGGAAACTGAGTTGCGTCTAGACACCGGTCGGACCCGCAAGGACGGTGTGAACGCCGACTCGACGCCCTACGGGGACAATAACCACAAAATGGCAGTACGCTTGGAAGACTACACATGTCTGTTGGGCAATCGGGCACGCTCATAGTGACAGCTGGCTTCAGGTCTGCATCACTGATAGCGCCAATGAGCTCAAAAGGCAGCTCGGGACGTGCTCAGACACTATCATCGCCACATCCACGATAGCAAGCAACCTTGCAGTATTTCCACCAGCCAGATAAGCCTCAGGATGACTCAGTACAACGGCAGGTACGATGGCAGCGGACTAAATACAATGTCGGAAGCACTGCTAGTGGAGCAACCACCAGGAGTCCTTACAATCGAGCAAGAAACTTCATCAAGAGCAGCACTTCGGTGTGAAGTGCTAGTAGCTTGTTGAGGAACCAGGGATACAAGCAATCAACAATCGTGAGCAGTGTCCTCAAAGTCTATGGAAAGGTCGAGACGACGGGGCTCCGAGGAATTTGCTAAGGAGCCTGAGCTTGTACCTGAAACATGCTCGATGGAATGGTCCGCTCTTTTCATAGCCTACCCAGCCACCGTGCTTCCGTGCTTTGCCAGCGAGGTATAGTCTGGTAGCTTGACAGAAACGAGGGCCTTTAAACACAAAAAAGTTCGTGAGAACACGGGAAGTTTGAAAACAGGTATGGCCGCACCGGATGCGGTGGACGAGACTGAGATAGACAAGGCAGCAAGTTTGTAGAGGCCGCCTGCCGCAAGAGAATTCCAAACAATCCGATGACGAGGCTCGACATAGCACACCACGACGGCAATTTGCTGCTTAGAAGGGTTGAGGGAACGAAGCATTCCAGAGAATACATGGTTACAAACGCTTGTTTCACTAGACATTGAAGCGCCGCTTGGAGAACAGACATCAGCAAACCTTCCTCAACTCAAAGCGGCCACAAATGAATCAGGAGAAAGAGACCTCAAAAGTGGTTTCTGAAGGCGGGTTTCGATTCTGAAATCAAGGATTTGGACACCAACCCGGTGGCCAGACCCGGACGTCATCCCTGCCACGTGGATGAAGGAGGAAGGTTAGCGGCTTGTGGAAGACAGAATCTCATTGAAAACAAACTTTGCTCAGCATGCACTCTGAACGGATATGAAGGGTCCAGCCGCTTCAACTTGCTGGTTTTCGCTAGCAAAACGTCTCCCTGTTTCTTCGAAGCTGAAAAAAGGCACTAAAGGAACAGTGTGACAGCAAGGGATGCGACACTCAGCAGGAAGGGTCACTCGGAACAAGAGGTATGCGTGGAGAGAAAGACACATTGTTCCTGGCAATTGTGCCTGCTCATACTGACAGCTGGCTTCAATGATGCACAGTTTCCAGTGAGCTCTGAATGTAGCTCAGGCTGCGCTCACACGGTATCATCGCCATATGCACGATGCAAGCATCTCTCGAGGGAAAACACGAACCTAGATAAGCCCTGAAATGACACACAATAAGGGGGCAGCGGACTAAAGACAATGTTGAAAGCACTGCTAGTGGGCAAATACGAGGAGTCGTTGTAACGAAGCAAGAACTGTCACCAGAAGAATTCCGTCGTCCAATTGCTGGCAGCATGTTGAGGAACCAGGGACACAAGCGATCAACAGTCATAAGCAGTGTCCCTTCACTCAAGTTAAGGCCAAAATGAAAGAGCGCCGTTCTCCTTGCCTGAGCTTGAGCTCGAAGCATGCTCAGGACTGGTCCGCTAACGTCATAGCCTACTCCATCACGACGCTTTGTTAGCCGCCATCGAAAACTGGGTGCACCATCAAAAAAGACGGCTCTCAACAGACGGAATCAATGAGACCACGGGCAGCTCTGATGAGAGCTATGACCGCACACAGGATGAAATAAACGACAAATCTGTGAGACACGAAGTCTAAAATGGACCAGCCTGCAATAACTGCAAACGATCCAAGAAGGAAGCTGGAAAGGCACAAAAAAAACAAGTCTGTTCTGCTATGATGGGAGGTCGTTTGAAGGCGATGCTTCGATCCCAAAACAGCCATGAGAGCATTGGGATAAAGGACCTCACAAGTAGAATTCTGTTTGCGGCATCTATAGAGCAGTGTGTGCTTGGACACTAACATAGTGCCCAGGTCCACACGTCATCCTTACCACATGCACAAGAAGCAAGCTTAACGGCCATTTGACCCGAACTCCGCTTCCCAAGAACTCAAAATTCTGGCTACTCATTCTGCCTGCCACTTCACTTCTGGTGCCAAGGCACACCCTTCCAGTCGTCTGCTTACCTGCAGTATCCTCAGCACCGCACGCCCCATGAACACGTCCAGCTCCTCATTCAGCTTCAGCCCCGCCGGCGCCACTGACATGAGCCATTCCGTGCCCCCCGTCAGCACACCGTCCACCAGGCGCTCGCTCGCCTCTGCGGCCAAGGCTTGCAGCCGCCCCCGGTGCCTCAGGAGGAAACCCCCCCCTGCGATACCCAGGAGGACGTCGAGGACTCCGGAGGTGATGAGGGCGCCCCTTTGATGGACGGAGAGAGGAGGGGTCCCAGGGGCTGTGAAAAGGAGGAGAACGGTTGAGTCAGATTCGAGGGAAGCACCAAAAGAGTGGCGATATCAGTAGAGCATGAGCGAAGATTGCTCCGAGATAGGGGGATTCCTTTGCTTTTGGCTCACAAGGTCTAGATTGTGAGTACAAAGTCACGATGGCTGACGGGGAACGTCAAGCCTCAGACCTACTGGGCCATCTCCAACTTGGTAAGATGAGGAGGCCGACAAAGTGTGAATAGGATTTTGAAACTGTCCGGTTTCTAAAACTTGTCCGGAAGTCAATGGCCCAAGTGCTTTGGCTCACAAGTGAAGGGGGATTGTACATGATCGAGGAGTGCCTTGACAGTGACAACTCTCAGCGATATGTACCTTTTGAAAACGATCTCCCCTACTTCGGAAGGTTGCTCTGTCATCAATTGCTGATCAAACACACTGTACTACTTGGGAACCCAACAATGACTCCCGGAATATTCAATCAGGAGAGTCTTTCCAAAATTCTGCAAGAAACTTTCAAAAGTATTGTCGTCCTGGGTGGTTGTACGTCAGTCTAAATTCACAAAGGTTATCTACTCCACAGGATTGTCCTTTTCCCAACACATGCATGCTTTCTTTCGTTGCATTTGCTGGTTTCAAAAGGAATCTATCCATGCCAGAAGGAAGTCTTCACAACTTAGTACCTTGGCGGCAGCCAGCAACTTTATGGTACAGAGCTTGTACAGCGGCGCTCCGGTGAACCAGCGCTCCCCTTCCAAGCAGCTGAGAGTTGCAAACATCCCATAGGCACCTGGTTGGCCACGTCAGGATCTCCAGCAAACTCATGGCGAACAGGAGCTGTCTTCTAGCCAGCTCATGCAAGGCAGCCAGGGCATGCACGAGCTTTGAAGGGGGCTTGGGAGTTTCGGAGAGCACCAGCACCTGAAAAGAAAGCATTGCGCAGCTTGAGTATGAGCAAATGGTGGTTGGACTCGGGGGAGTTTACATTCATTCCAATGAGAGTTGGGGCAAACTGCCAACCGACTGTTTCTAGTGGAGCTCAAATTTCAGGTCGGGAGAACAGGAAAGAATGGTCAACAGATTTCCTTGTAAGTGTCTATGTGCAGCTTGGGAAACAGCCAATGCTAGGAACAGCAAGAAGCACGATTCAACTGAGGGATGACTATGACAGAGCTCGTGCTTGTACACGATGCCCCAGACCTGAACATAATATTGCACCAATTCAAACTTGTTATCCACAATGTTTTCAGCTGGATTGAAAAAGTTATGAGAGGTCGACAAGCTCCTTCAGGCACCACCACGATACGCTCGGAATCTGCAATGCATACAACGACTTGCCACAGTGAAAAGTTTACGTACTGCGAGCTGCCAAACCTCATGGCCCCAGCTTCGTCCTGCAAAACAGCGATCGCTCCGCAAATAGCCGCAACCCCTCACTGGATTGCCCTTTGCAATCTGCTTCGCTCAGCTCCATTGGCGTCATCAAGCTTTCATCTCATAACAGATCTATTCAAATGCAATGCAGACAATTATGGCCCTCCAGGCTCCAGCGCAGATGAATTGACGGCTTTAGGGTTTGCTTGCTTGAAACCCTAGAATGCTCTGCACCTTACCCGTGCCCAGCACAGTTCTCA